ACATACACACACACACAGGAAACGAGAGAGATGCAATTACCAACATAAAATACGTAATAAACCATTGAACACGTATGCCTCCATTCCCCTGCAAGGGAAGTGTTCGTAATATAGTCCTCACCTTTACAAACTGGACTACCACTACCGGCTTGAACAGATTAAAAAACGGGGGAACAGATTTAGGATCCCAACTCTTATAGGAGAACTATGGGGTCAGTGTTTTCCCCCATAGTTCTCATTAAGGTAACGGGAGGACACAAACTAGCGTCCTCCCGTCACCCTAAGCTCAGTATATAGGAGAGCTACAGCTCCCGGTATACTGAGACGCCGCAGCCGGAGCGGATCCCGACTTAGATGACGGGATCCGCCCAGCTGTGTGAGTGACAGCTGGCTCTGCCTATCTAGAGGCAGAGCCAGCTGTACCCGCCCCTCCCCCGTCCGTTCCGCCAGTCAGCGCTGGTGGATCGGAGCAGGGAGAGGGAAATCCAGCCGTGACAGGATCGACAGGTGAGCGAACCCGGTATGTGTTCACTCACCTCCCGATCTACTGAGCCGACCTGTGGCAGTCTCATTGTCACAGGTCGGCTAGAACTATGAGGTGAGTGAAAAGCATTCACCTCATAGTTCTCCTTTAAGGGGAACATTGGTTACAAATGGGATGTAACAGTCCATGGCTCAAACAACTTGAAGATGGTGTATGGTTCCATGGCGACTGGTGAAGTTCCGACCTGGAACATGGAGTCGGTGCTTTAGATCAGTGGTTCTCAACCTGTGTAACCTCAGGACCCACATTTAAAATTGGTCATCAAGTCATGATCCAATTCGCAGTAGTGCGTGTTCCGGTGCCAGGGTGGGGGCGATCAAACTGTGGGTGGGGGGAGTGTTTGGGGTGCCATTTAAATGAATGGCAATGCGACGCACCTCCCACACCGGAACGCGCGATTGCATGGTACAGTGCATTATTCGCACAGGACTCTGATTTACGCACTGTACTAGTGTGAATGGGAACCTCAAAAAACACAACATGCAACCACAGACACAATCTCACACACAAATTTTTTTTTTTTAAGATCCACCCAGTCTCCCTACCTCACCGGAACTGGAGTGGATGCTCAGCCTGGGGTACAGTGTGGGCTGCTGTGCTGAAGCTCCATCCATATGTACATTTCTTGTACAACTCCCTTGTGTGTCCTGCAGAGCTGCCGGGAGCCAGAATGTGACGTCACTCCGGTCCAGGCACCTCTATACGGCACATGAGGAAGCTGTAAGCAATGTATGTATGTATGTATGTATGTATGTATGTATGTATGTATGTATGTATGTATGTATGTATGTATGTAGCTCCCTCGCAGCCATGGCCCCATCCTGTCCCACCTCAAGCGGACATTCAGCATGCATATTGTAAATGGCTGCTTGGCACGAGAACTGACAGTGCTGCTCTATGGAGAGGCAGAGGAGCCTCTCACCTAGAATGCCACGTCACTCCGGTCCAGGCAACTCTCCAGGGCATGTGAAGGAGCTGTAAGCAATGCGTGTATGGGTGGAACTCCCTTGCGACCATACCCCCAGCCCACCTCACTTAAAGCTGATACTTGCTGCCGGGCAGCATATTTTGAATGGCTGCCCTGTGCCAGTGCTACGCTAGGGGGAGACCGGAGGAGCCTCTGACCTAGCGCAGGGAAGGCACGCAGCCACCCGCTGAACATGGAGTCACGACCCACCAGTTGAGAACCACAGATGTAGAGGGTTGTAAGGATGAGGGAACACAAAACATCTGGGAGGGATTGCCCTAAAATCAGGAGATTTTGGATTAAGTTTATCAACTGGTCTTTACAGTCCTGGGTACAGGAAACCATAGAAGTCCATTATGGGACTCTCTTCAATCCGAATCCTTCTCATTGGACGAAAACCAAAGCAAAACTACTTTTACTTTTAAGGTCACCAAACTCTGGGTAGAACTTGGGGGGGTCTAGACTACCAATGATTGCTCAGTTAAAAAATAAAAAATAGAATGGCCTGGTAAACAAAGATGGCCGCCATGTTGGTCGACTCTATGAGCATATTTTTTAAAAGTTTGGACACCATGAACTACAAAACAAAATGTTCACCCATTTCTGTGTTTTCTGCTACCTGTGATGCAGGGGGGCTACTCTACCCTTGGGCCCAGCCCCCAATTTACATATAGTTTCATAGTACTTTAGGTTGAAAAAAGACACAGGTCCATCAAATTCAACCTTTGCGTGTGTGCGCATGCGTGTCTCTTGTCCGTGCATGTGTGTATAAGAGTCCATGTGTGGTCTAGTATTTAAGTGTACCTATACCCCTGTACATCACAGTTACCCTTTCCCTTCTCCCTGTTCTTGATCTTCCATCCCTCAATGGTGCACATTCCATATCCAGTCACATTTACAGTAGACATGTGCGATTCGTTTTGTTATGAATCGATATTCCTACGAATTTTCCTGAAATTCGTAGATTCGCAAGCATCCGAAATCCAAATTGCAGTTTCCGAATTTATATCCGAAATACGAAATTCCGTTAACGAATTTCGGATCCGAATTTCTTTGAAACGGGAACTAATATTACCCCTGTAAATGAGGTTGAAGAACATGACAAGATTTTTTTTTTTTATCCGAAATACGGATGCGCTGCTGCTGAGTCGCATTACAATACACAGGCAGGAAATACGAAATTCCGTTGACGGAATTTCGTTCCGTTACGAACATTCGTTATATTGAAGTTAAAAAGCAAAGTACATTTATATTGGAGTTGATGGTGGGTTTTTTTTATCCGAAATACGAAATTCGGATCCGGAATCTGTTAATGGAATTCGTATTTCGGATAAAAAAACAACTACCACATCGACTCCAATATTAACAAAAGGTATTTTTGCTTTTTAACTTCATCATAACGAATGTTCGTAGTTACAAAAATGTGCCGAAAGTAAAGAAAATTCGTATTTCGTACGAATCCGAATTGAGTTTCAGACACGAAATACGAAATAACGGATATTCCGAAACCGAACAAATTTTTTGACGGCGCACAAGTCTAATTTACAGTCCTATTCTAGGCTCATACATGATTATTTGAAGTCTAGGTGTGAATTCTGAACAAAGATGGTGGGGGTGGATGGGGTGGGGGGGTTGGGGTTAATTCCAAGTAGTCGCACTGGTCTTGTCCTATCCATTTGAAATGTGACTTTTATCAATGATATCAGCCTTTGCCTACCACGAGTTGCCTCGTTTTATTCCGCATTGGTTTACGGCAAACGGTAATCCTTCAATAAAACTTTATTGATAGAGAAAATATGTATTAAAAAGTTAAACAAAAAAAGGAGACAACAGCGCTCATAAAACAATAAAAGTGAGAACACAAACCAAGATTACGTAGGCCAGAATATTCCATCAATATCCAAGTCAATGGAAGAAGAAAAAAACAAGAAACATTGGCCAACCGTTCGGAACTTTCCAGCTCTCAGCGTGAACGGAACCTACACGGTGATCAGACTTTTCCAAGTCAATAAACTCCGGTGTATTTCCACCTTTGCAGTCACATTGGATAAAAAAAACACCTCCACGGGGTCTGTTGTGTGTTTCCATTGACACAGCAAACCTATATAAAGTTTTACGACATCTGTAGTTGTTCCTTTGGAGAAGGTTTACACATCGCACTCTACGTGCAGCTTCTATTGTTAGAAGGCGATATGAAGAGCAGGGACAACGGGAGGGAGGTTTTTTTTGTTTTAATTAAAAAGTGCAATGGGGGGAATTTATCAAAAGTGGAGCAGACAGAATTTGGAACAGCTGCCCGTGGCAACCAATCAGGTTCTCTCTTCAGTTAAGCCTTAAAGGAGAACTATGATTGGGGGGGGGGTGCTTTTCACTCACCTCATAGTTCTAGCCGACCTGTGACAATGAGACTGTCACAGGTCGGCTCAGTAGATCGGGAGGTGAGCGAACACATACCGGGTTCGCTC